CAACCCCCAGTGAGGACCACCTGTTCACTCTAGTTCCCCAGCTCCTCCCTAGTGCTCTCACCCCGGCTGTCTGATTGTCAGTGTGTTTGTAGGTTTGCGGGGCTCATCCAACCATAGCTAAGGAGGGAGGGCAGCAGGGCCGTTAAACCTGAGACATTCCATGCCCGGCTTCGGCAAGAGTGGAGGCAGATGTGTCCCAGCCCATACTGGAGGTCTTTTCTGTGCTCAGGAGTGGATGTTTGGGGACGGATGGGACTGGGCAGGGCCTCTTAGACAGATCCCCATAGAATGAGTCTCTTCCATCAGTGTGACATGCAGTCCAGGGATTTCCCATACCTCAGCCGGCAGTGAAACCTGGAGCCCTTCTAGGCTGTTCTAAATGGGTGATGAGGTGTCTCACTGTCAAGGTAGAGGCTGGGAAGGAAGCGATCAGACTGGCCTGGGTTTGAGTCCTGACCTACCACTCCCTGTGTCTGAGACTGTGGCCTTGACGTCTTTGAACTGTGATGCCCTTGGCTACAATGTTGGTTAAAAGTGCAACTGAACTTCAACTCTGGAAGGTCTCAGAACCGGACTCGGTCATCAGAGTCCTCTCAGGTGCCTCTGGGTCTGGGGGTGGGGTCCCAGAATGTCCGTGTAGTAAAGCAGGTGAGGATGGTCACATGAGTGTCCCCTTCATGGAACAGCGTCTTGATGCCCCTTCAATTATCCGGAGTTGGTGGAGAACTTACCATGTGCCATGCAGTTCGAGGCCCTGGAGCTCCATCAGGGAAGGGGGCTGGTCACAGCCCTCACAGATGATGCCGCTGCAGGGTGCGCCGCCATCCCCGGCACAAACAGCTCCTTGAGAACAGATTGGAACCGGATGAACAAATGGAGGATGTGATGGCCTTACGCCTGCTCTGACCGCAGATGTTCTGGCACCCCCTCCCAGTTTTGTCTAGCAATTTCTTTGGGAGGAGGGGCTAAAGCCCATGTGAGGGTCTCTGGGAGCCTACTGTAGCCCTGGAGATCCAAAACTGGGGACAGGCCCAGATGTATCTTATACTTTACTGCCCACTGGATGTCTTATAGAATCTACTAGAAAACCCTTCTAACTAACACAAAGTGTCAGGATACGAAATCAAATCGATCAGTAGGCTTCATACCTGCCAACTATGTATTCTCAGAGGAAGAAATCTGGAAAAAGTATCCCGTTCAAAAATAACTCCACAAGTAGCATCACATAGGAATACGCCTAATCAAAGGAGAAGAACGACCCCGACAGTGAGAAATTCCCCACACTGAAAGGGAAATCAGAGAAGATTAATAAATGACTGAGAGACCTGGCATGCTCCTGGATCAGCAGAACTAATGTTGCAAACAGGGTTGCACTGCCGAGTTTGATCGATAGATTTAATGCAGTGCCTAACTGGATTCCGGTGTCATGTTTCACGGATTTCGAAAAAACAATACAGAACCAGGGACAGCCGTGGCAATGGTACATTGATAGAGGTGTTACAATATTTGACCTCAAATTATACTACGTAGAAACCTGATATTGCCATAAAAACACAGACCAGGGGGCAGAGCAGAGGATTCAGAAATGAACTGATAACACTGTGTCCACTTGACTTGACGAAAGAGACAACGGTACATATTAGAAAAAGTCCATTCAATAAATGGCACTGGTAAAACTGGATATCCACTGGCTAGAGGAGGACATTAGGCCTGTGTCTTTTACCTTAAGCAAAAATCTACTCAAAACGAATCAAAGACAGTAACTGAAAACCCGAAATGCAGAAACCTTCCAAAAGAAAACTCAGGAATGCACTCCAAGACGTTGAGTTTGGTGAGAACTTTCTGAACAGAACATCAGCAGCACAGGGACCGGCCTCAAGTGTCAACAGATGGGGCCTGCTCAGCTAAGGGAACTGCCAGCAAAGCAGACAGCCCACATGATGGGAGAAAAGTTTCACCAACCACTCTTCAGACAAATTTATACAGAATTTATACAGAATTATAGAATGCCAGTCCCAAGGAAATCAAACAGCCAATCAATAAATAGGCTACTGAGTTGAAGAGACAGTTTGCAGAAGAGGGGCAAGAAGAAGACCTATGGACAGGTAGACAGGCAGACAGACAGATGGCCAATTACCGCTTTTAAGCACTCAATATCCCTAGTCAAGGAAATGCAAGTTAAAACTTCTTTGAGATACCACCTCACCCAGTCAGACATCAAGAAATCCTAGGTCTCACTTTTAAGTTTACAGGGTACCAGGTACATGTCTGAGGTGGTGCCCATTGCTTTCAGCTTGGTATCAGGTTTTCTCTCTCTGACGTTGGGCGGCTGGCTCCCGACTGCTCCTTCCCAAGGGACAATTGATGAAGTCACCATCCCTGCCCCTGACTGGCTGGCCAGCCCTGTGCCCAGGCAGGTGAAGAACCTTACACATCAGCCAGAGGTGATGTCACCTCAGGAAGACAGTCAGCATGGGGGAAGGGTTCCCTCTGATGTTTGAAGGTGGGGTAGGCAGCCTTGCTTGTCCTCTGGAGGGGCTGGGAATGAGGAAGAGGAGAGACACTGGACCTTCTCTCTGCCTAAGGATCAACCTGGTGCCCTCTCCTCACACCTCAGACTATGAATGCAGGTCAGAGTTGAAGCTGCAGCTCTGTGACCCACCCCCCAGGTTGCTTTGCTCCCCTGTGCTGCCACCTCTTCCTCATTGAAGAGGGTGGTGGTAGAGCCTCTTAGGGAAATCCTAAAGATGATGACACAATGTATCTAGAAAGTGCCTGGAGGAACTCCCCCCATACCGTTACTATGTTACTATGACAATAGAGTCGTTGCGGAGAGGGAGGTGACTTTCCTTGCAAAGGAACATACAAACTAGCTCCCTCTCTCTCTCCTGCATCCCACCCCCTTGCCTTTAGTCTGCAACTCCACAAGACACAGACATGGAGAACCTCAGAAACCAGGGCTCAGGGAAAGCCCTACTCTCCATTCCAAGTCATTGGTAGTGGCCCGGGGAGCCCTGGGAGAGCAGGTGCATGGTCCTGCTGTTCAGACGGCCCAGGCTGGTCTGGGACTGGGGGTGGGGGATGATGGTGGGCTGCTGTAAAAGGCGCTGTCTGGTTCTCAGGTGTAGGCTGCAGCCTAAGCACTCTGTAAAGACCGATCCAGGATCACATCCCACACGGGCAGCTTGACACCCTGGTGGCTGTGGGTAAGTCCTGTCCTTCATCCCCTCAGCTACAAGATAAGGCCTCTGGAGACAGAGACGCAGGAGATAGATGTGAAGGGGCCTTCTAAAAGGCTTGAGGGTCAGAGGCGGACGTTTTCAAATGTTCCCTCAGGATGCCAGAGCTAGGAAGGGACCTTCGGTACCCTTTCCCTGTGGCTCAGTTGAACCTTCAGTTTTCTGCCTTCGTTCGACCCGTCCAGATCCTTTCCATAAGTCCATTCTGGAGCCCTCCCTCTTTTGAACACTGTCCCATCAAAAAAGAACAACCCTTTAGGAACCACTTGGTTAAGACTAAATTTTCACGCAGGAAGTCTCAGATCTCTTAAGTGTCTAGCTGTATGCACCAGCTACCTCCAGAGGTGGCCTGTGGCTTTCTGTGCTCCCAAGACTTCAGCCGAGGAAGCTGCTGTGGATGTGTTCGCCGGCCTGAGTGGGGTTGTCCCACGGTAGTGGATACACTGTCAGCTGTGAGGTGTTCATTTTCAGGGTTACAGATGCTGTCTGCATTGACTGTAGGACTCGGTGCCCCGTGTTGGTGGCACTCACCTGTGTTCCCAGCACCCGCGAGTCTGATGCAGGGCGATCATGAGCGTGGGGCTAGCCTGGGTCCTATAGCAAGCAAGACATGTCTCAAAACCAGACCAGAATGAAACAAAACCAGAGTGAGCGTGTCTGGCTGTGCAGCCCGTCTTGCGTAATACTGTAGGAAACGCCAGCGGCTACCTTTCCCATTCAGAGCTATCTAACTGGATTCCACTGGGAGCCTGTTCTGCAAGCTGTAGGAAGTAAACCTCGTGTACGCCTCCCTGAGTGTCACTGGGCAGAGGAAATTGTCCATGCAGACGAATGTATCCCACATTCTCCAGACAGAAAAGGTGGGCAAGCCTGAAAGGACCCCAAGATTCCAGAAGACAAAACTCCTGTCTCCCAGTGTCCAGACAGGCAAACTGAGGCCCATAAATGACCCCTCCGTAGGAGCCCCCAAGCCCGTATCTGGGATTGAATTGTGAGACCCATGACTGGCCCTGTGTGGCCTCCATCATAAGTGAGTGGAGGTCTCCTGAACCAAGCAACCCCATAAAAGTTTAATTAGCGAGGCCGCCTTAGACCCTGGCAGCCAGATGTGTTACCACACTTGGCGACCTAAGGATGGTGTCGGGGGGAGAGAGGAAGGTGGGATCTGTCTTCTCAGTGTTGAGGAGAGGAGGGAGACTGCCAACGTCCGCCCATGCTCTTGTAGCCAAGGTGACTGTGGTGATGCCCCGCCCATGATCTAGCCACTGCCCCGCCCATGATCTAGCCACTGCCCCGCCCATGATCTAACCATGTGACTGCACAGACACTCGCCATGCTCTTCTATCCACGTGACTGCACAGACGCCCCGCCATGCTCTTCTAACCACGTGACTGCATGAAGTCTGCTCTTTTATTGGGTTTCAAGGCTGGAAATTTTGCCCTTCGTTTTACCAGTTTACCAGTTTGTCGAAGCAGGGTCGTGTCCCGGGGGTTCTGCAGTCAGCAGCTCACCGGGCTGTGCTATGGCAGACCAAGATGCTTGGAAGTCTGTTCTGTCCCCAGCACAGAGGCCCGGGGAGTGAAGTACACTGGGGAGCCCTGGACTTGGAGACATCTCACTGAGATGAAGATGCTGCTGCAGCCGTAGGTGGGCCTTGGCTGCTGTCTGCATGCGTTCCTTCTGGTAGGGACCGGGCTGACTGAAGTGGATCTGAAGGATGCAGACTCTGGGTCCGTCCGGTGCCTTCCCCTCCAGGGATGGCCGTGGGCGACTCTAGTAGCAGCAACTGCCTGTTTTTCCTGCTGTACTTCACACTGTTCCGATTTCCTTCCCACTCTTCAGGGCTAAAGAATCAGCCAGACGTGTGACTAATTAGCACCTCTTAATTGGGGAAATAAGACCTTTTAGATATTAGGGAAGAGGCAGCTCGGCTGTCTGACAGCTGTCAGTGCTGGAAGAGGGCAGAGAGCGTTTCCTCCCAGGGGCACCCTCCTCCTCCTCCTCCTCCTCCTCCTCCTCCTCCTCTTCCTCCTCCTCCTCACACAGTTCCCCAGGGAGAGTCAGAGACACAGCACAGACAGGATGGTGCCATCCAGTACTCATGGAGTACTTTGCACCCAGCACCACACAGCACTCTGACGGTCTTTAAGTCTACCTGTTAATCACCACACCGGACAGGCTCGGGAGCAGAGCTTCAGAGGGACCAAGTGAACTGCCTAAGGTCACACAGCAGGCAGGATGCAAACTGTTGGTGCTGAGACTCACAGCAGAACCACAGAGGCATCCCTGAGCTGGGGCTCTGCAGCCATCTTGGACTTAGTGTGCACAAACCATAAAGCTGTACACCCGTATTCACATAGTCTCCAGGGTAAATACATCAAGACCCAGAGACATGGAATGGCTCACCCAGGCCACGTGGCATTGGGCTGAGGTCTGACTAGCTCTAAACCCTCACGCTTTCCTTTCTGAGCCGAGCTTGATGTTTCTGATCCTGTCCCCACGGAGTAGAAGGGATTTGAGTTTGGGGTGAGGCTGGCATCTCTCCCTGAGTCCCGCAGAACCTCTCTGGGAGGTCGGAGAAAACCAAACCTGCTTCTGCCTCCACCGTCCATCTGTATCCCGAGCCCACGTCTCTGGTTCCCGCCCTCATTTGTGTGGCAGCATTTGGAATGACTGGAGCTATGCCCTATCCTTCTCCTCCCTCTCCTGGCCTGTGTTTCTGAGACTATAATCATACCGAGTCTCCGAGCCACAGAAGCAAGGAGGACAGACGGACTGGGGCATCTGAAGTACAGAGCTGACCACTCAGGCATCTGTGAATCACCGCCCGGGCCAGGCCCACCTGGTCAGTTTTTCTATTTTCCTTTCTCTGTTCAATGACAGTTATTAACCGTTATGTCTGTCTCGAGTGAGTTCTATTCAGAGCAAGACAAGTCTTGCCCAGTTCTTCCTGAAAGACTTAATCCTGCCTCAGGATCTTCCCAGATTCTGACAGTGAAGAATTTATACGGGAGAGTGGAGTTGAGTGGCTTCTG